AGGCACCAAGATCCTTCAGAGCTGCTCCCATCGGTGGGACACGCTTGGGAAAGGAGGGAGATCACGCTGGGGTTGTGCCAGAAAGAGGGAGACAGCTCTAAACCCAGCAGCTTTGGAGAGAAATGAGCCCTGCAGAAGGCAGGGCAGGGACCCTGACACTGCCAGCCCAGCCAGAACATCCCAGCCCCGTTGTCAGAGGGGAGCTTTGGCCCAGGACCATAAAAATCTGGAGATACAGAGGCAGTGAGTTTGTCCCAAAGAGGGACTGGCACATTTCAGCTCCATTGTTGCAGTGGAACCAGAACTGCCTGGAGCTTGACAGGGGGAAGTGAAACTTCATCTGAGGCTGGAGGGCAGCCAGGGCTGGAGGAGCTGCACCCGCTGCCAGCCATCCCACGGGAATCTGGCCCCAGCAGCAGCAGCAGCACAGCTTTTCCTGGAGATAAACCCTCCCCAGGCCATCCTGTGCCAGCAGGAGCCACGCTGCAGGGTCAGCTGCACACCAGAACCACAGCTCAGCTGCCTCAGCCACCCCTGAGAGCCTGCAGGGAGGGTCTCCCCCAGCACAGGGACCTCAGGCCACCCCCTCTCTCCAGCAGCACCAGGGAAATGCCCAGCAGCGAGGTTGTGCTTCAAGTGTTTAAAACAGAAACCTCCCTCAGCTGCAGGAGAGCCCTGACAGGAGCCCAGAGCTGCTCTGGCCTGAGGCAGATCCAGAGCCCGGAGCTCAGCTCGCCCCTTCCGAGGTGCCCAGCCTGGTGTTGGGTGGGAACAGGGTCAGCTCATCTCCTCACACTACCCAGATGGACAAGGAAATAAAAAATAATCCAACAAATTTGAATACACTGTATTTATTCGTAACAGATTCTAAAGAATCTAGTGAGTCTATGTCAAGCCCATCGCATGACAAGTGATACAGGCATAGGAAAAAAAAAAAAAAGACATTTAAAACAAACAAACAATGAAAAAAAATAAGTCAAGTGCCATTCAAGCTACTGGAATCTTCCAATTGCCCCCTCACAGGAGGCAGCACAGTATCACTGCAAGGTCTAGAAAAGTTCAGCTTCAACCCATCCACAAGAGTCCCACCACACACACTCCATGAAGCAAAAGTGCAATCTCAAGGGTAGGGCACCCTGTCGAGCTGTTGGCTGTAGGGGATTGACATCTCAAAGGGGAGGGGGAATCTCAGTTCAGTGTGTCTGGGGGTAGGAGCAGCCTGTAAAAATCATCCTACATGGCATCTACGTTCTGCTTAAAATCCAAGAAAAAAAGCTCCTCTTCCTCCAAGCCACGCAAGTGCCACAGGGGCTCCCAAAAGCAGCTTTTCCAAAAGCAGCTTTTCCAAAAGCAGGAATCCCGAGCTCCCACGGCAGGGATGAGGCTCTGGGGCTTGGCAAAGCTGGGAGCAGCTAAAACCTGCAATAACCTTGGGGTCAGGGCCTCCTCCCACCCGGGGGGAGCAGAGCTGGGCCACCCCCACCCCTTCATCCCCATCCACATTGCCCCAAAAAAGGTACCAATCTGGCTCTGCACATTCCAAGGATCTAGTCTTTATTTCAATCTGCCCGGCTATTACAGTTTTGTCACAAAAAACAACAACAACAAAAAAAAAAAAATGCAAAAAACCACAAGTTAGTAAAGATGTGGAGCATGTCAGCCTCGGAGGAAGCACAGGAAGCCGTGGTGCTCCTGGAGCAGCATCCCTAGGGAATGCCTGCACAGGGAAACCTGAGCTGGCTGGGCCACGGCAATCCAGGCATCTCCGTGAAAATCCTGTGCTCCACACACCCAACAACTCCAAACTCACATTGGACTGAGAGAGCCAAACCCTCCAAACACCACAGGGTCTGCTCAGAAGACATTTTTTTTGTTTCCTAAGGCCAACTATAACTTCACCCTCCACGTCCTCCCCCAGGCTCCATTTCTAGCTAGAGAAGGAATTTCAAATGCTCTCAGCAGCTCCCAGGGAAGCACAGAGCTGGGGAGAGGCTGCTCTGGAGACAGGACCTGCCCAAGGGATCATCTCCAGCGTGGAAAGGTCTGTCAGCCTCCCTGGAGGACACAGTGACAGCTGGAAATGACTGACCAGTGACCTGGATGGTTTGTGCTTCAAAGGACAAGCCTCACCTTCCCCAGTGGCCCAGCTGGCCCCTGGCTTTGTGCAATAAAATCACACTGCATGTCAGAAAAAAAATAATAATAAAAAAAATTTCCAAAGAGCAGCATTTCAAATTCCCCTAGAAAATACAGGATTAGGTATGGGAGCCTGGGGCAGGCTCCTGGACAAATCATCTGCCTCATCATTTAGGAACTCAGCTTGGCACCGTGGACTCGGGAGCTTGAAGAAATCCATGTGCAGATCCCTGCTGCCTTTTGTTCCAGCAAGCTCTGCACAGCATTTTCCACCATGCACTCCCCCCCTCCCCAGTGTTCCCAGTTCCAGGCATTCCCACGGGGACATTCCAGTCCCCCTGGGGTCTGCAGCCCCAGCTGGGCAGCTCTTTGCTGCAGCTGGTCCTTCACATGCCCAAAGCCCCCAGAGACACAGAACCTGCTCTGGCCTCAGCCAGGATAAGAAATGATCTTGCGACCCTCCCCACCCACCACAGAAACATTTTCCTCTTCAGACATTCCCCACTCAAGCTCTGGGCCATCAGCCCCCGCAAAAAATAATAAAGGTTTACAGTACAGTTGTGTTTATATTGTTACAGGCACTTTAAACAGGATTCTTTGGTCCTTCAAAGGAATTAGCCACTCTGGCTTCTCTCGGCAGAAACCACAAGTTTGCACACCCATAACACCTCCTGCACTAAAAAAAACCACAATTCATGTCCATTTCAGGGCAGTGCAGCTCTACCTTAGCGTAATTCTACAGTCTCCCCTCACACACCCCCACCC